TTCCTTTGTATTGCCTATAATTGATAATTACCACCACAGATTTGGTAGATCAGCATTCAATTTTTAAAGAAAGACAAGTTCAAAGGTGGATATAGCATACCAGAAAACTTATAATGTGTGGCTATTAATTATTTCTCTTATGTGGAGAGTCAAACCCCCAAGTTTTGTACATACTGGGCAAGTGCTTGTACCACTGATCTACATAATCCAGCCCATGACTGTTGCTCTTCTTGTCATATTTATGTTAATTCTATCTGGGTTTAGTGATGTGTACCTGTGATCTCAGCATTGGGAGATGGAAACAGGATGATAGTGGCCTTAAAGCTGATCTTGGCTACATAGTGAGTTCAAAGCCAGGCTGAGCTACATACACAGTTTTAGAAGAATAATAACTAGGGATGTTGCTCAGTGGTAAAGCCCTTACACAAGATGCAAAAGCCCCTAAGTTTTTATCTCCACCATGTAACAACAGCAACAAAAAGACTAATCGGATATTTTTCACCTAGCCTAACTTTTCTTCTAATGGTTTTAGCAGCTAGCAGTGGTCACTGCCCATATCTATTATTTTATTAGGGGTTGCCAAATCTTAGTCTTCAAATTCTACATACCAATCTTTTTAATATGCTCCTTTTAACAAGTTTCTCCCTGTTGAAAATTCTCCAATGTGTTTCCCTTAACCAGAGCAGAAAAAAAGAATTTAAGAGTTAATGTAGTGTAAAGGAGCCTCCGTGATAAAGTTCCTGCATTCATTCATTAGTCTGTCTGTGGGGGACCTTCTTGTCCTTCTTCTTCAGACTGACTTATAGCCAGCTTGAAACCTGTCCCTTTCCATCCCCTTCTCCTTAGGCAACCCTCTAAGATAGTACACATGACTGTTGCTGTACTGTCATGCTGTTTTCATGCATTCATCTCACCACTCTAGGTGAAGCTCCTCAAGTTCAGGGACTTTCTTTCATTGTAGCAGCAGAATATAACCCAGCGCCTGCCACATGTACATAGTTTGGACAAAAGAATGAGCATCCTTATTCAATCCTTATACTTTTTGATGAGGGGTTACTCAATAGTAAGTACAAGGCCCTGGGTTTAGTCCCTAGCACAGAAAAAAAACACAAAAAGACAGAAAGAAGAACTTTTTCAAATGAGAGCTCCAGTACCAATGTTATATTATAGATGTGGAATTTAGTTTAGACAGGTGGATCAACAAAGTCAAGGTTATACAACTAAGGAAATAGATGTAAATCTTGGCTGTTTGTTTTTTTAATAATTCCAAAGCTTGTGCCATTTCTTTCAACTTAGTTATTTAGTAAACAAGTGAAAACACTCAAGTATTCCCATTATCTGAAAAGCCCCCCACCAAAGTGAAAAATGTTTTAACTATATATTTTTCACAAGCATATTATTATTAGTTATTAGTAGTAGTAGTAGTAGTAGTAGTAGTAGTCGTCGTCGTCGTCACAAGCATATCTGGTATCCTGTTGTTTTGGTTTGGTTTGGTTTTTGTATCAACTTGGCACAGGCTAGAGTTACTGAGAAAAGGAACCTCAGTTGAGAAAATGCCTCCTGTAGGCAAGTCTGTAGGTCATTTTATTGATTGATGATTGATGTAGGAGGGTCCCTCTCACTGTAGACAGTGTCACTTCTGGGCAGTCTTCAGTAGTATAAGAAAGTAGATTGAGGGCTGGAGAGATGGCTTAGCAGTTAAGAGCACCCGCTGCTCTTCCCATGTACCCACATGGCAGTTCACAACTGTCTGTAATTCCAGCTCCAGGAGATCTGGCATCCTCATAGACATACATGCAGGCAAAAGCCCAATGTACATAAAAAGAAAGTAGGTTGAGCAAGTCATGGAGAACAGGCCAGTAAGTGGCATACCTCCATGGTCTCTGCTTCAGTTCCTGTCTTCATTACCCTCAATGATGAATTATTACCTCAAATCTAAAATGACATGAACCCTTTACTTCCAAGGCTGCTTTTGGTCATGGTCTTTATCACAGCAATAAAAAACCTAATTATGACAACCGGATTTAAAGTGGGGAAGAAGGGAAAAGTGTAAGAATTACATTGTAAGAATATATTGAATGGAAAACTGTTACAGCCATTTTGGAAAATATAGTCTGATACTACATACATATACCTATGTTTCCCTTTTTATTCTTTAATTTTTACTAGTATATATTAATATATACAGTGGATTTCATATGATGTTTTCATACATGTATATAATGTATTTGATTATATGCACCCCAACTCCTGTTACCTTCCCTTGTCCCATTCCTGCTAATCCCATTCCTTTTCCCAACTAGTCCCTCTTATTCTTCCATGACTTTTTTTTGAGACAGAGTCTCACCATCTAATCTTGGCTGATCTGGAACTTTCTGTGTAGACCATACTGACCTTGAACTCACAGAGATCTCCCTACCTCTGCTTCCCAAATGCTGGGATTAAAGGTGTATGTGCACTGCACCCAGCTCTTCTATGTCTTTTTGTTGATGACTCAATAAATTACATTAGGGTTGTTTACAGGAGCATCGGTACCTACCTTTTATCTTCTTAATAGATGTGTGAAATTGTCTTATTTAGATATATTTTAATTCATTTGGCCACTCTCCTAATGATGGATATTTGGGTATTTTCTAGTCATTCATTATAACAAACAGTGCTTGTAGTAAATAACCTCTTAACCAAAATTGCTTCATATATATGGAAAGAATTTATTCCATAGTTAAACCACAAGTTGAATTGATTAATAGATCAAAATATGTTGGTATTTTTAACTAGGTTTAGTGGTGCGTGTCTATAAATCTGGCACTTGGGAGGGGGAGGCAGGAGAATCAGGAGTTCAAAGTTATCCTTGCCTATGAGGTTTGCCTGGGCTACATGAAACTCTATCTTACTCTCTGCCCAATAAATGTACATATACATGCATATATTTATAAATATAAACATATGTATGTATTTTAAGTGAGAAATTGTGCAATCAAGTACCTTTTTGTGTACTCAAAAGTATTATGCATCTTTCTCTACTGTTCATTACATTTTTATTTACCCCAAAAGAAACTATGCATCCTTTTTCCATCAACTCTCAATCCCTGCATTTACCCAGCCCTAGTCAACTATGAGTTCACTTTCTGGTGTTTGGGAGATTTTTCTGTAAATTGAATCATACACTTTGTGGTCCTATGTGACAAGCATCTTTCATTTAGTGTAGTATTTAATGGCTTGTCTTCCATGCTGTAGCGTATATGAGTACATCATTTCATTACTGCCAAATACTGCCTGTATGGCTAGAGTACATTTTATTTATTCATCACTTGATGGGCACTTGGGTCATCTTTACTTTCAGGTTTTGTGAATATTGCTAGTGTAAATATTTATGTATAAGTTAATGCAGACATGTTTTCATTTCTCTTGGATATATAACCAAGAGAGGAAATGGTGAGCTTCATGGTAACTCTGTTTTTAACCATTGTAAGAACTGTTAGGCTCTTTCCAGTATTAGCAAATAGCCCCTCAGAGGCATTGTTCCAATTTTCACTCCCACAAGGGAATGTTTAAGTGTTAAGTCGCATCAATTTGGGGACTTTTTTGGAACTAATTTTTTTATTAGTTCAAATTAGGAACAAGCTTGCTTCACATGTGGCCCTCTCCCATGTGTCCAGGCCAAGAGTGTATCCCTTCAAATGGGAAGGCCTCTCAAAGTCCCTTCTTACACCAGGGAAAATACTAATCCACTACCAGCGGCCCCCCAGAGTGCAGAGGCCTCCTCATTGACATCCATGTTCAGGGGTCTGGATCAGTCCTGTACTGGCCTCCCAGACAGAAGTCTGGGATCAATATGCTCCCTCTTGTACAGGCCAGCTGTTTCTGTGGGTTTCACCAACCTGGTCCCGACCCCTTTGATCTTCATTCCTCCCTCTCTGCAACTAGATTCCAGAGTTCAGTTCAATGTATATCTGTGGGTGGCTGAATTTGGGGACTTTTTAACAGCTTGACATAATAAAATGTTATCTTGATATAATGTTCATTTTAATTTTTCTTGTTACACGTGAGGTTGCCCGCCTTCTCCTATATTTATGAGGCACCAATGTTTATTTTGCCCAATTTTCTGTTGTCTTTTACTTTATCTATTTGGAGTTCTTTTTTTAGCAGAAATTGGCCTATGAGTTACAAATATTTTTCCTATTATGTAATTTGTCCTACACTCTGCATAGTGTCCTTTCAGTAAGAACTCTTTATTGTTTTATATGTGTAAACTTATTGAACTTCACATTTTGGCTTTTGGTTATGTTTCATAGTTAGAAAATCCTCTTCCTTCCAACATTATGAGCTAATATCCCATATGTCTTTTAGCACTTTAATATATATGTCAAGATATAGACTTTCAGGCACTAATCCAACTTTTTCCAGATAGTTACTTGATGCTTTTAACGTCATTTAATAAATAATCTACATTTATCATGTACTAAATTCCAAATTGCAAATAAGTTTCTATATCTCTAAGTTGATTTATTTAACAGGACTTGTATAACAATCATGTATCTGTCTCCTTTCAACACAAGTAAATTCTATGTCATTGGCTCTTAAAATGCAGTATGCTTTCAGAACTTGGAGAAGTTCAATCTTTTTAATTTAAGTAATGTTGAAGCTTGAGGTATGGGTAAAAGAATGTATTTTATCTCCCAGCACTCGGGAGGCAGAGGCAGGCAGATCTCTGTAAGTTCGAGGCCATCCTGGTCTCCAGAGCGAGTGCCAGGATAGGCTCCAAAGCTATACAGAGGAACCCTGTCTTGAAAAACCAAAAAAAGAGAATGCACTGTATCAAGGCATAGCTAATAAATTACAAAATTTGTGTCTAAGATGTTTGATTTTCAAGATTGACTCTTAATTACAGTTTTATAAGTGTTTTTAGTAAATAGTTTTCTACTAAAGGAGGCCAAAACAGGCATATCCATTATAAAAAAAATTGACATGTTTAATGTACTGCCATCTTTAAATTCCAGAGGGCCTGACTGGGACACTGAATTGTATGAAGAAGGGGGTGCTACTGTCAGGGAGCTTCTCAGTGAACTATATGGCAAAGTTGGTGAAATTCGACACTGGGGTCTGATCCGATACATCTCTGGGATCTTAAGGAAGAAGGTGGAGGCCCTTGATGAGGTACTAATAAGTTCGTGAATTTACACAAAATCTAAATGGGGGATACTTTTAAAGTTATTCCAGTGCTGGGAGTATAAAACAAAAGGAGGGTACTTGCCTAGTGTTCCTGGGATCCTCCTTCAATCCTTTGCACTACAGTGGGTAAACCTTGATTTCCTAATTGTTTTTTTAAGCAACCACACTTCTAATTGTTTTTGATCACACATAAAGTTTCTGATATTCGGTTAGCTTTTTATTTGTGAATGGCAAGTAAATGTTACTGAACCATTAGAACTACAGACTTTAGAGGTGTTATAAACCATAAGAATTTGAGATCTTAGTGATTTTACACTAGGCTGAAAGTCCCTGCCTTCCAGAAGGTGAAAGTGCTTCATGGTTTCTTCCTGGAAATCTGTCTTCTGATCATGTTTCATGAGAAGGAAAGCTTGGTGTGCTGGTGTAAGTTAAGGGGGGTAAAGTTTTGTGGGCTGAGAAGAAAAATGTTTGGAAACCTGAAATATTGGAAAGGGTAAGCTATCCTACCTCTTCCCAGGCCTGCACAGACCTTCTCTCCTACCAGAAACATCTGATGCCAGGACTTCCTCCAGAGCCTAGAGAGAAGACCATCTCTGCGTAAGTGGGGCGTGTGGTCAGACTTTGATGAGGTTTCTCTGTACCTTTAAGCAATTGTGTGGACTTACCATAGTTCTCTTGCCCTGATTTGTAAAACATCTTATATGCAGAGCTGCAGAACAGGGTACAAGTAAATGAAAGAGAAAGCTTATAGGAAGTAATACTTAAATTTTCTTATTGGCTTTTCCTAAATCCCTTTAATTCTACTCATTCTAAAAGCACACAAAAATAGAGGGTATCAGGAATTAACAACATAAAAGTTGTTCAAGCATATTCTGAAAAAGAAATGGAAGAAAGTCTGTGACTAGTGCATTGGGCTGTTATTGATGCAGTTTCATGCTGCTGAAGAAGGAATCAAAGGTGTGAAGGTCAAAGTTGAAAGAGGAAATGGGCATCCTGAAGTAGCATGTCTGCGTGAAGGCTGTCAACTGGTTACCACTGGCCACTGTGTTGCAGCTTCTAATTAGCAGTCGTCCCCTAGGATAGGCTGGGGCTGGAGGGAGTGAGGAGTGGAACAGTCACAGTAGACGTTTAATTCCTACATATGAGTATCCATTTACCACTAGCCATACCAGTAAAGCTCATCTGCATGAAGTCTATTTAATTTTATGTTACTCTAGTGCCAATATTTAAATACACAGCAGATTTGTAAGAAATATTTTAGAGGGATTATAGCTTCATAAGTGATCAGAAATCACTCTGGTTTCCTATAAAACAATGACCTAAAAGCAACATACCTCCACTGGCCTGCCAGTTCTACTTCAATAACCAGTGTAGTATAAAGGGTTGGGGGTTTTTTGTTTTGTTTTGTTTTGGTTTTGTTTGTTTGTTTGTTTGTTTTTGAGACAGGGTTTCTCTGGGTAGCTTTGTAGACCACATTGGCCTCGAGCTCACAGAGATCTGCCTGCCTCTGTCTACTGAGTGCTGGGATTAAAGGTGTGCGCCACCACTGCCTGGCTTAGGGTTGATTTTTTAAACAGCCTCACTGTATTCCTCAGACTTTCAATCCACTTATGCCACCTCATTCCCAGTTCATATATATGATTTCAGCTGCCTATGAGGTCCAGTTCAGAGTTGTGGATCGAGGCTTAGAGAGACATGTTCTATATGTAAAGTCGTAGTTATACTTTAGCAAAACAGTTTGGCTAACTTGCTTGGACTGCCATAATAACAAAATATCACAGACTGGATGGTTCAAACAACAGAAATTGTGTCTATGACAGTTTCACAGTATCAGAAGGGTTGGTTCCTTCTGAAGGCTGTCAAGGACTTTATTCTAGGCTTCTTGGTTTGTACATAGCTGTTTTCCTCTTATGTTTCTTCATATTTTTCCATCGTATGCATGTCTTTTGTGTTCAAATTTTCCCCTTTATATAAGGACACCAGTCACATTAGATCAGGAACCATCTTAATAACTTAATTTTAATCACTTCTAAATAGCACATTTTCCATTAAAATCACACTCTGGGATACTAAAGGTTTGAATTTCAACATATGAATGCTGAAAGATGCAGTTTAACCTGTGATGCCTTGTTTTTAGCAAACAGAACCTTGTATCACCAATAAGATCAGTTTTGTGTCACTATAGGCATTCCAAAAGAATAATGCCTTGGCACATTCTTGCAAACTACACCATGTCAAGACTGGAGAGATGGCTAAACAGTTAAGATGGAATACTGCTCTTGCAGGATCTAGGTTTGTTTCTCATCTCAGGCAGCTCACTACCCCCAAACTTCAGCTTCAGGGGGTGGGGAGTGGTATAACACCTCTGGACCTCTGAGGGCACCTGCACTCAGGTGCACATACCACTGCACACCCAAAGACACAATTAAAAATAAAATCTTATGTCATGTCAATGAGAGGGCCATGGATGTAGCCAGATGTGGTGATGTGTGTCTCTAATTCCAGGACTCAGAGACCCGAGGCAAGAGAATCAACAATTTAATGCCAGCTTGGGCTACATAGCAAAATCCTATGTAAAACAAGCAAATCACCCCCAAAAAATACACAACAAAAAGACCACTCACAGAAAAGCTTGAAAGTCACAAATATGAATGTGTGTGTGTGCACGCATATGTGTTTGCAACTGTAACTGAACCAATGAAACTATTTGAAAGATCAACATAATGCCGTAAGATGTGACTATAAAGTAATAAAATGATTTCCAAAGGGCACAGCTTAAAAATAGCCATTATGCTTACTTGTCACATATTAAAGATTAGCCATGAAAGACTAGTCTGAAAAGACACGAAGGGGTGAGTTTTAAATGAAAATTATGTTAATATTGCCAGAGTGAGCCTCAGAGGCAATAAATGAGCTTTTTGCTCTGAAATAACTACAAGTGATGAAGGGTTGTGGCAGTGATTTGGACCTGCATTGAGTATTTAATTTTTAAATTATATTTAGGTTAAGTTATTGTAGAATTTGGTCTTTATTCACTGTTTTCTTCCGTAGACCTCTACCATATGAGGCCCTCACTAAGCTGATAGATGAAGCCAGTGAAGGAGACATGAACATTTCAATCCTTACACAGGTAGGCAGCATTACAAAGCCTAGCCTGGCAATTGGTATTTCAGTATTAGTTTTTAATTGACCTGACAATTTACAAAGACAATAAAGTAGACCTTGTGACACCTATGCTATAACTTTTGTTTATATCCATTCTGTACACAGGAAATAATGGTATATCTTGCCATGTATATGAGAACTCAGCCCGGCCTCTTTGCTGAAATGTTCCGACTTCGAATTGGTCTGATCATACAAGTTATGGCAACAGAACTGGCCCACTCTCTTCGATGCTCAGGTATTTATTTAATTTAGTAACTAATTTTAGGTGGAATTCACTTCTAGTGCAGATCCATGCATATGAAAGCTTGGCCTTAGCTTAGGCTTGTTCTTACTACTTCTTATAACTTAAATTAACCCATATTTTTTAATCTACATTTTTCCATGAGGCTCATTACTTTATCTCCTTACTGTCCATCCTGCTTCCTCTGTATCTGGTTGGTGACTCCACCTTTCTTATTTCCAGAGTCCTCTCTGTCCCCAAAAGTACCACCAAACCTCTTCCTGCCCAGCTATTGGCCATTAGCTCTTTATTAAACCAATCAGAAGGTGCCTTGGCAAAGACACATCTTCACAGTGAAAACAAATATTCCACAACAAATAAGACTTAATAATTATTTATAGGTTTGCCAATGTAACATTTCTAGTTAGGAAAAGAACTGGGACCTGAGGAAGCTATACAGATGTATCCAACCTTGATAGTGCTACACAACATTCGTCACCTATTAACTTTGTGCTTGAGGGCCATGTAATTGAGTTTTGAAAAAAATCCAGGTAGTGGTGGCACATGCCATTAATCCCAGCACTCACGAGGCAGAGGCAGGTGGATGTCTGTGACTTTGAGGCCAGCCTGGACTACAGAGTGAGTTCTAGGACAGCCAGGACTACAGAGAAACCCTGCTTTGATAAAACAAAAACAAAAACAAAAAAAAAACAGAGGAGGGCTGGATAGTGGTGACACATGCATTTCATTCCAGTACTTGGGAGACAGAAGCAGGCAGATCTCTAATTTTAAGGTCAGTCTAGTCTACAGAGCGAGTTCCAGGACAACTAGGGCTACACAAAGTACACCCCATCTCAAAAACAAAACAAAACAAAACAAAAAACCACCCACAATTTGCATGCCTTTAATTACAGTTCTCTTGGTGAATTTGAGTCCAGCCTGGTTTACTTAGGGCTATATGCTGAGACCATATCTCCAAAAACATCTCAAAAATTTTAAATAGGTTTATAGTTTTGTATCAGGACACATTTATACTTGACTACATGTGTTCTACAGGCTGTGAGTTAAACATGCCTAAAGTATGAGGGGATTGGGGTACATGACAGATTCCCACAGAATAGCTCTTTTTTCCATTAAAAATGTTTCATTCCTGACCAACACAGTGGTTCTTTAGTCGGGCGTTGGTGGCGCAAGCTTTTAATCCCAGCACTCAGGAGGCAGAGGCAGGAGGATCTCTGTGAGTTGGAAGCCAGTCTGGTCTACAGATCGAGTTCCCAGGACAGGCTCCAAAGTAATACAGAGAAACCCTGTCTCGAAAAACCAAAAAAAAAAAAGTTTCAATAAGAATGACAAAATAAAAGAGCGTAGAAAATACAATCACAGTTGCAAAACTAAGACTTGTTTCACTTGTTTCACTTGTTTCCTAAAATGGCTTTTTAAAAATTAGATAGTTTTAATTATGTGTATATTTGCATGCCTGTATGTACATATGTGAGTACAGGTTCCTGTGTAGTTCAGGGGATATCAAATCCCCTGGAACTGGAGGTAAAGATGGTTGGGTTATGAGCCATCTGACATGGATGCTGGGAACTTAACTCAGGTCCTCTACAAGAGCAGTGTGCACTTACAACCACTTGGCCATCTCTCCACTTCCCCACATGGCTTTACATTTTTCTCTGAGGGGGTGGAGAGATGGCTCAGCAATTAAGAGCACTGGCTCCTATTTCAGAGAATCTGAGTTTGAATCCTATCATTCACATGGTGACTAACGGCCATCTTAATTCCAGTCCCAGAAATTCACCGCCCTCTTCTGGCTTCTTTGAACACTACATGCATGTCATACATAGATATACCTGCAGGGAAACACCCATATTAATGAAATAGATAAATATGGTCTATATTTTTTTAATTTGAGATGTTCCTTATGTAGCTCAGGTATACCTGTATTTGTGATCCTCCTGCCTTAACCTCCAGAGTTCTTGGATTATAGGCAGGTATCACCATGCCTGATGCACAAAAGGCTTTTAACTTTAACTTAATAAATAAATAAATATATACATACATACATACATACATACATATATATCCTTCAAGAAGAGAACATTTTATGCCTGTTATTTACCAAATGATAAATTATTTGGTTTTATATTTATATACATTGTCTTATTTAATCCTTACAACAACTCACTAGAGAGCACAGTACCATTCTATTTCTACCAATAAAGAAACTGAAAGGAAATAGAGGGTCTAATCCCCATCGTAGAGAGAGGAGAGGGCACATCCAAAGGAGTAAACCAAGTGTGGTCACATGTGCCTGCAATTCTGTCACTTTACAGACTGAGGCAGAAAGATGACAAGTTTAAGCCTAGCCTAGGTTACACACTGAGAGCCTGTTTCAAGGAGCAAATGGAAAATACGGAGGATATGGTATGCAAAATAGAATTCCTTTTGCCTGAATTTCTGTTCATTAGCTGAAGAAGCTACAGAGGGCCTGATGAATCTGAGTCCTTCAGCCATGAAGAACCTCCTGCATCATATTCTCAGTGGCAAAGAGTTTGGAGTGGAACGAAGCGGTAAGACCCAAGCACTGAACTTCTATCTCAGGGTATTTCATTGTAATTCTCAGCTTTAGAATGTTTTTCTTCTATTGGAGGGACTTTTAGCCCCCAAATAAATAAAACATTTAAAAGCAAAGGTATCTTTTGGAACAAGATTTGAAAACTAAAAGAAAAAATTCAGTTTAACAAAAGGTTTTGGAGTGGGGAGATGGCTCAATGGGTAAAGTGCTTGACACACACACTTACTATATAAGGATCCTAGTACCCATATAAAAGCTGGGCCCAGTAGCTTGTCTGTAACCCCAGCTCACCCCTGTCCTTGTTTGTTTTTATTGCTGTGGTAAGCTCCATGACCAAAAGCAACTTGGGGAAGGATGGATTTATTTGGCTTCCATGTCCTGGTCACAGTCTTCCTGAGGGAAGACAAAGCTCGAACTCCAGCATGGCAGGAACTGAAGTGGAGGCCATGGAGGAATGATACTGACTGACTTGCACCTCATGGCTCACTCAGTTAGTTCTCTATGCCACCTGGCAGCACCTGCCCACAAGGTCCTGGGCCTTCCCACATGAATCATTAATCTCAAAACGACCCTACAGACCAGTCTGTTGCAAACATCATCTCAGTTGAGGTTCCCTCTTCTCAGATGACTCTAGTTTCTGTTAATTTGACAAAACAAAACTACCCAGCACACTCCTATGGGGAGATGGGAGATGGAGACAGAAAATCTTAGAAGCTGTTGGCCACCTAGCCTGGCACATGCAGCATTGAACAAGAGAGGCCCTGTCTCAAACAAAGTAGAAGTCAAGGACCAATGCTCAAGGCTCTTCTCTGACCTCCACATGCACATGTACACCACAACAGACAGGTCTCTCTCTCTCTCTCTCTCTCTCTCTCTCTCTCTCTCTCTCTCTCTCTCTTTCTCTCTCTTTCTCTCTCCCTCCCTCCCTCCCCCTCTCTCTCACAAACACTTTTTAAAAAGATTTGGAAACATATATGTAACTCATCTTTTTCCCTAAATGATATGAGAAATGGATGAATAGCTATCATGTTTCACTAACATTGTATTTACAATTATTGTATGTGTGTGCATTGGGGGAGGGGTACCACAGCACATGTGTGGAGGCTAGAGGACAACTTGCAGGAGTTGGTTCTCTCCTTCCACTGTGTGTGTCGCAGGAATTGAACTCAGGTCATCAGACTTGGTAGCAAGTGATTGCACCTGCTGAGCCATCTTACTGGTCCTCACATTTCCTTTTAAACTATGTAGTAAATTACCTTTCATTATCCTAAGTCAGGAGGACAACTAAAAACCCGGTCTGAATCTTTATTGTATTCAAATTGGTTTTAATTCAGTAAAACTGATAATGTTATGGGTGTCTATGTATGTTTACAGTTGTATCCTTTCAACTTTAAATTCTAGTACCTCTAAGAGTCTATCACAAGCTAATTTCTCTCTCTCTCTCTCTCTCTCTCTCTCTCTCTCTCTCTCTTTAGTTTTTCAAGACAGGATTTCTCTGTAGTTTTGAAGCCTGTTCTGGAACTCTCTGTGTAGACCAGGCTGAACTTGAACTCACAGAGATCCGCCTGCCTCTGCCTCCCAGGTGCTGGGATTAAAGGCGTGCATCACCACTGCCCAACCGCAAACTAAACTTCATATGCACTTTTTACATTTTTTAATATGTGTTAATCTTACATATAAGAAGATTACAAGCATTATTTTAGTACATAACATACAGCATATGTCAGTCAAAACTTGTGTGTTCTCTGGGGTTTTGCAACATTATTTATGCTGTATACCTAAAGGAGAACAATAATCTAACGAAGTTTTTTTTTTAAAAAAAAAAAAGGATTAGCTGGGCATTGGTGGTGCACGCCTTTAATCCCAGCACTCGGGAGGCAGAGGCAGGCGGGTCTCTGTGAGTTCTAGACCAGCCTCCGTTACAGAGCGAGTTCCAGGACAGCCTCCAAAGCCACAGAGAAACCCTGTCTCAAAAAAAAAATAATCCCCTATATTCAATTATTAATCTTAGGTTATTTTTCAAGGAGGAATGGCCAGACTTTATCATGTTTTGTTTTGTTTTTAAAGGCTGATATGTCCTTGAATGGCTTCCAGGGGCAGATCTCACTGGGGTGGTGAGGGAGTGAAGAAAAGACAAATATGTACAGAGACACAGAAAAGCTGAAATAAGTGGTTTGGTCTCTAGTGGAGAAAGCACAGCATCATAGGAGATTAGCTAAAGCTCCCTCCTTGCTCAGCTGTGTGCAATTGCTGGGCTCCAGCCTCAGCTCCAGTTCAGGTCCTGAGGAACACAGGGAGTGTTGGTGCAAGGAAAACTTCTGATCACCAAGTGGATTGCACTCAAGTGGCCCCAAATAACTCATGCTGTCTTTATTTATACTTAAACAGAGTTTTTCTTACCAAGGGTACATGAACAGTTTTATTATTGGGTTCTATTTTTTACTTTAAAATTACATCATAATTTAATGAATACACTGTGATCATTATAAACCCCCATTGTTCCTCTTTATGCTTTCCCCAAATATACTTTCCTACCCCCTACATAACCTTATTCCTAGACATAGAGTTCATCATTTTTTCAGGCTTAACTAAATCCTGCTCTTGCAGCACTTATGTCAGCTGGCAGCTACTTGCAGTTACAAAGTTAAAAAGTAATAGACATGGGTATAATGCTTTAAGGACAACAATAGTGAAACCCAGACAAGTCTTTCATGTTCACAAGATATGCTTTTATACAGTTCCTTTTTTCTACAAGGAGGTTCATGTCTCAATCTCTTTGTAAAGGGCAGACTTTGATAAGGCATTCTTTTCCTATCTCACTATACCATACTTCTTCCACCAATATAAGCTCCTATGTGTGGTAAAAATTGATCCACCCATCCCATATTTTACATTACATTTTCCCCTATTGGATCATACTGGATCCTATCATTGGTTCTATGTGGTTGGTGTCCAGGGAACTTGCTCTCAACAGTTGGCACTGCATGTGTTCCTGAGACTTTTCCCCTGTTCTGTGGATGCATGCCTTACTCTCCTTTCCAGAGCTGTGGGATGTGATTAGTGTTCCAAGTGTTTTCTCATATGTACCTAACTTCCTCTATTAAGTCAGAAAGGTACCCAGGATTAGGAGTTGGAATTAATAATTCCAGATTTGAGACACATTAGCCCCCTGTTGAATAGTAGAGGAAAATATTAGAGAAAGAACAGAATCTCCAGGGAAAATTACAGCTGTTGCATGTGTGACTGACAAAGTAAAACTAAAAACCACCCAAAGAATCAACAATATAATGAGAGCGAAAAAAGCCTGCAAACTGGACAAAATTTACAAATTCCTCTTTTTTTTAAGGAATGGACTTGCCAGCCAGAGCTAGGACAAGCAGGAAAAGAGCAAATAGCTTTATTCTTTAATGTCCTCTGTATAGGCTGCCACCAGAAGGTTTGGCCTGTCCCACTTCAAATTCAGAAAGAAAAATCCCTCACACATATGCCAAGCTGCTTGCATTTTAGTTAATTACAGATGTAATCAAGTTGACATTTCTTGAAGACACAATCTCATTGCAGATTTCCTGGTCCTGTGGCTCATACAATCTTTTTATTATTATTTAAATTAGAAACAAGCCTGCTTCACATGTCAATCCCAGCTCCCTCTCCCTCCCCTCCTCCTCCCCCCTCCAC